ACACACACACACACACACACACACACACACACACACACACACACACAGATCCGCGCTCCAAGCCCGGAGCTCAGATGATCGTGCTGGAAGCAGAGTGCCTCCCTTGGCAGATACCATTTCTAGGCACTTCTCAGTCCCCCAAATGAAGCTGGAGCTCCAGCATGCGGCGAATGGCCCCAAAGTGTGTTACCTGTCTTTGTGGCAGTCCCTTCTAACAAACGGATGGCCCTAAGGGGCCAGAGTCACCACCCCCTCCCTTCATCCCTTCCACAGAGAACATTAATAAGAGAGTCCGACTGCAACTACTATCCAAAACACAGCATGCGAGTGCTTCCGAGGACCACGATCACTAAGGTGCATGAACTGCTGCCCCCGGGACTTATGAGGGCATCTCTTGTACCCTGTGCTCCGGGCACTCCTCCATTCCCAAGCCCGCAGACCTAGGTGATCTGCTCTCCTCGGTTACCCCTAAAGTGGGGGAAAATACTGCTCCCCCTGGCTATGGAGAGCCAATGGCCTAAAGATCTCCTGGGAGAGTTGCTGGGATTCCCAGTTCCCTCTGACCTGCCCGCAGGCACCGGTTCTCACCTCCAGCGCGTGCTCCTGCGACGTGAGCGTGTTAATGATGCGGATGTTGCGGGTCTTGGTAGACAGCCGCCCCACCTCATAATGCACCCCCTGCCACCAGGGCTTCCCGAAATCATTGGCCCAGTCCGAACGCGGCAGCTGAGGCGGGACGTGCAGAAAGCGGCCCCGGGGGGTGCGGTATCTCAGGGTACCGGTCAGCGGATCGACGTGCTTGCGGATCTTTAACGCAGGGATCGGGAGAGGGGCCTCGGGGCAGTCACGACCTCCGACTCCAGGCAGCCCCCGCCTTTCCGCCCCATCCCGCGGCCCCGCGGTCCCATTCCACACCCCCGCCCCACCCCGGGTTTCCGGCACAACTCACGTCTCTGGTCTTCGGATCGAACCAGTGGCTGATGTCCTGGCCCGCAACTTCCACGATGGGTTTTAGCAGCAGGTCTCCTGGGAAGGAGCAGCCGCCGTCAGTGCCAGCCACGCAAGAACCAGGCACCTGCCCCGCGACGCACACCCTGACCCTGGCCCAAAGCGCGGCCCTTACCCTTGTACTTGTGAGCCAACGGCGTCAGGTCGTACACGGAGCCCAGGTAGGACACCCACAGGTCTTCCGGCACGTTGTGTTGGGCCACCTCGGCCGGCGTGAAATAGCGACGCTGGAAAAACTCAAAGTCTGGCCCCCCCACGAGGCCCCGGCGCGGCGTGGCTCTTGCACTCTCGGCCACCAGCATCTCTGGTTGCTTCATCGCCCCTCAGCATGCACGCACGCACGCACGCACTCACTCACTCACTGCATCTTCCCCCCTCGCGAGCGCGTTGGTCCGCTGACATGGAAACCATTGTCCCTTTCCGGCCACCGTCTACCGAGATCAAACACTGGGCGGGGGGGGGGGGGGAGGGGAGGGACGGGGGCTGTGCGCGCTCACGGGAAATGTAGTCTGAGTCTGGCTTTCAAGGAATTGAGCTGCGTCCTCCAGAGGTCCGGGGGGGAAGCGAACGCCCTCCGTCTTCAGAGTGGTCTGGGCGGGAGGGGATATTTAGGACTGACTGGCGAAGCAGAAAAGCAAGGGAGTATGGGGTGGAGTGTGATTACGAGAAAAGGTGTCTTCGCTAGATTCCCGGGTTCCTGAAGAGTATGTGTGAAACTAAAGAGGTGAAACGTCTCGCGATATCTTACGACATCCGGCCCCATAGACCTCAGTGAGCCCCGGCGCCGGAGAAGTAGGAGGAGCTCGCGAGATCTCTGCAGTTGCCCAGGAGACGACGGGGAGGAGGAGAGGTGATCTCGCGAAAGAAAAGAGGTCGGGAGCGCTCGCGAGATCTCAGACCGCCGGAGCCGAAACGTTCTTAGGAAGTTGAAGGGCCCACAGGAGGCCCCGGGGCAAATGGCCGGAGCTGGACCAACCATGCTGCTACGAGAGGAGAATGGCTGTTGCAGCCGGCGTCAGAGCAGCTCCAGCGCCGGGGTTAGCGCGGGCTGGGGTTCTGGGATCGAGGGGCAGCCTGGGAACAAGATGGGGGGGCGGGGGCGGAGGGGGGACTGCGGCTCCCGGCAGCCTCTGGGCTCGGTGGGAGCGCCCCGCGGGCTGTCGGGAGCTGTGGTTCCGCGGGTGGGCGGCCGCGAGGGCGGTGCCGTCTCAGCGCGTGTCCCGCCCCGCGCAGGACTCGGACGGGGAGCGCGAGGACTCGCCGGCCGCGCGGGCCCGGCAGCAGCTGGAGGCGCTGCTCAACAAGACTATGCGCATTCGCATGACAGATGGACGGACCCTGGTCGGCTGCTTCCTCTGCACCGACCGCGACTGCAATGTCATCCTGGGCTCGGCGCAGGAGTTCCTCAAGCCGTCGGGTCAGTGCCCGGGGGATACACGCCCCCCTGGGAATGCGGCGCAGCCTCCCCGCGAGGCGCTTCCCCCTCAGTGTCTGGCTGCACCCCTGTTTTCTGGGGCTAGAAGGGGCGGGGCCGGCGCTGGCCTGCCTCCCTGATGCTCTGACCCTTCTTTCCAGATTCCTTCTCGGCGGGGGAGCCCCGTGTACTGGGCCTGGCCATGGTGCCCGGCCACCACATCGTTTCTATTGAGGTGCAGAGGGAGAGCCTGGCAGGGCCTCCCTATCTCTGACCTCGATCGCGCATGCTTTGCAGACCATTAAACCTGGAACGAAGTGCCTAGTGTCCGAGTGTAGCTGGGATGTCGGGAGCACTCTCAAACCCTCCTTCCCCAACCTGGACGTGCAGGGGAGCCAGAGGTTCTCTCTGGTTCGGCGGTGGGGGTGAACTAAGGACCAGCAGGCCCCAGGGTGGGCCCCTCCATCTTCCCTCCCACGCTGCTGCTCCAGAATTGTGGCCGGAGGGGGTGTCATCCTGCTCCGGAAGGCCCATTGTTTCCCTCCCCGGCCTGGCAACACCGAGTTCCTCCAAGCTGGGGTCAGAGAACGGGCTCGGGTCCCCAAGGGGAGCAGGGCAGGCGACAGAGGCCGGGCCCTCTCCACTCTGTTGAGGGGGGAGGTGACTTTAGGGTCAGGGACAGAGCTCTAGGGTCTGGCCAGGAAGAACGGGCTACCGCGATAAGGGAAGGCCCCCGGGCGGCCGAAGGATGCGCTCTCGCGCCCCCGCCCCTCCGCCCAGTGTTGTTTCCTGCTCCTGGGCACAGGGCAGGCGTGACAGGAATTGTGCCATCCCTCTGTTCACAGGATCCCAGGAAACGCATTCAGTTCATTCTTTATTGATGTGTGGTCACTCCTTCCTCTCCAACCTCGCCCCCCCCCCCCCAGCCCGTAAATACTAGAGGAGCTGCACCAGGAAAGGAGGACACGCGGTTCGGTTGTCCTGAGGGAGGGGGAGGGGAGGATCGAGTGGTGGGGGTGTCTGCAGGGTCCAGCCCAGATGTCCAGGATTCAGATCTAGGTAGGAGGAGGAAAGTGGGTTTTCCGGGGTGTGGTGGGTTTCCGCCAGCTTTGGTCCACGGATGCTTCGGTTCCCCCGAGGGGATGCTGGACCCTGGCTTCGGCGGGGGCGGGGTAGGTCGGGAGACCCCCGGGCTTCAAGTCCTCGGGCCGACTGGGAGTGGGGGCAGTCGTCAGGGTGGTTTTTGACTCGAGGGTCCTCAGACCCAGACCTTTCCTGATGTGGGAGCGGCCTGGGACCCCGGTGAGGCCCGGGTTTGCCGCGGCAGCGGGGCGCGCCGGCGCCGGTAGAGGGCTCGGCTGTAGGGCACGAGGCAGTCGGCCAGGCGGAGGCGCAGGCAAAGGCGGCGGTAGCTGGCCAGGGCCAGCACGAGCAGCGGCACGAGGAGCAGGAATCCGGTGACCAGCAGGGCCGTGAAGCCCGGGTCCCGCAGGTGCGCGGTGCAAGGGGGGGCCTGGGAGCGCAGGAACTGTGGGAGGAGACCCGGCGTCAGGCCCCCACCAGGCCGGACAGCCCCGGAAGGGCGGCGTGGCCCGCAGACCCCCACCGCCACCCTCCCCGCGAAGGGCCGCGCTCACCTGGGAGTGGCAGAGGAAGCCGAAGCCTAGCATGGTGACAGCGGGTAGCAGGATGGTCCCCAGCACCAGCGCCAGCAGGAGGAGGTTGAAGGCAGCCACCAGCAGATTCTGGGCCGTGACCAGCACAGCGCAGGCCCAGCAGTCCAGGGGGTCCCGGGGCTCCGGGCCGCCGCCGCTCCCGCCGGGAGCCGTTCGCTGCGCCCCGGGGACATCCGCCATGGCCTGCCTGGCTCCCGCCCGCCTGGGCCGCGGCCCTTATAGCCCTCTTTCCTGCCCCTCCCCCGGCCCAGCCTCTCCCCACCCCCCCCTTATCCTGGAATGCGGCTCCAGGATTAGGCACCCCCCCACCCCGAGGAGCGGACCAGCGCTCTTGGACATTCCACAGGCGCCTCGGGGAGGGGCTCGCCCCGCCGGGGTCTGCGCAGTCGGGGCAGCCCTCCTCCCCGCGCGCGCCCCGCGAGCACCAGCACGTTACCAAAGCCGGATGTTTTTCTCTGATTTTATTTTTCATATTAATATTCTCACACAAAAATCACCGAAAATAGGGGTAGGGTTGGGAAGACCCCTCTGCCCCTGGGGCAGAGAGACAGTGCAGTGCGAGGGGGCGGGGCTGTAAACCCCCCAGCCCTCCGCAGCCCCAGCGTGGGAGAGAAAATCCACCGACGAAACAAAAATAAAGCCCCAGAGAAACTCATCCCGGGGTGTCCCTGCCCCAGTGAGGCCCTGGCCCTGGGCTGGTTCACGCTTAAAAAGAAAAGGGGAGGCGGTGGGGGGGGCGGGGTGTGAGGGGAAGGTCCGTGTTTTTAAAATTGGCCGGGGCTGGGAAGGACGGGGTTCCTTTTCCTCATAGTTCTTTCTTTAAAACTTTAAATTTTTTTTATTTATTATTATTATTATTTTATTTTTTTACAAAATACCATTTCAGTTCCCACTTCTTCCCCTACAGTACAGGAGTCGCTCACCCTCAGGCGGGGTCGGGGTCGGGTCGGGAGTGGGGGCCTGGTCCGAGAAAGTGCAGGACGTCGGGGAGGGGAGCGGGTTTGAGCACCATGAGAACCCGGCTGGAGCCGCGGGCGGACGGGCGGAGACGGACGGGGCCGGCCCCGGACACACACTGGGGCGCAGGGAGAGCCCGGCGGCGGGGCGGTCCCCGGAGGGGCGGGCGGGATGGCTTGGGGGAGGGGGGTGCGGGAGGTCGGGTTTTCCCAAAAATGAATAAATAGAGGTGAGTGGGACTGTTATAAATTAAAAACCAAAAAACAAAAACAAAACAAAACAAAAAAAAACCCCAGAAAATACAAATCATAACCAAGTGAAGAAACAGAGACATGTACAGGGGTCACAGCTAGCGCTGGAAGTAAAAAAGGAGGTTCTGGGGGAGGGGTAAAGCCCATAGAAGAATCTCATGAAAACCTCGGCTGCCGTAACGTCTATGTACATACACGAGCCGCGTGCATCTGCGCCGGGCGGGCGGGCGGCTGGCAGGCGTGAGGGAACCCGTATGTGACCCCCGCCGCCGCCGGAGCCTGGTCCTTGTGTCTGTTGCTAGAAGGCCAAAGTCGGTGAGGGGAGGCGCTGGTGGGCGAGGGGCTGCCAGCCCCCTCCCCCGTCTCCCATTTTTTTTCCTTTTTTCCTCTTATTTGTTAAAAAAAAAAATTTTTTTTTAATAAATTAAGTGAAGGGGAGCTGCCAATGGGGTGGAAGGGCTGGGCCCGACCCCCTTCCCGGCCAGAGGCGGGACCTAGGTCCAGCCCAGGCGTGTGCTGGTGGCCCCGCGGCGCCCTGCGGGCGGGCGGGCGGGGCGTCCGGCCTCATCGCGACGTGCTGGCGGGGGCCTGCGGGGAGAAAGCGGGCGCCGGGGCTCAGCGGCGGGAGCGCCCCGGGGGGGGCCCCGCCCCCACCCCCCCCACCGCCCCCGCCCGCCCGGGCCTCACCAGCGTGAAGGCGTCGTAGGCCTGCGCCAGCTCCTCCGTGCGGTACTGCTCCAGCACCACCACGCCCTGCAGGCCGGCGCTGCGCCGCCGCGCGCACGCCTCGCAGTGCACCAGGTACGTGTTGCGGCTGCCGTTCTCGCTCGTCACGAACAGGATGTTGAACACCTCCACCTGGGGCCCAGAGCAGGGGGCCGTCAGCGGGAGGGCAGTCCCGGGGACGGAGGGGGGGGAGGCAGGCGGGAGGCGGGCCCACTCACGTCGCACTCGTTGCAGTAGTAGGCGGGCTCGTCCTTGACCCGGCCCTGGTAGGCGATCTTCTTGCCGGCGCGCACTAGGCTCTCGCGTTGCACCTGGCAGTGCTTCATGGACTGCAGGAGGCAGAACCTGCGCGCGGTGGGGCGAGGGGCCGGTGAGACCGGGCGGGGGGAGGGCCCATCCCCGCTCCAGGCCGGGTCACAGTCCCTGACCTGGGCATGTCACAGTTGACATTTCATGTGGCTTTTGTCCACTTGGACCAGAGAAAAAGAAAGCGCCTGGGAGCGGAACCCCTATCGGCCGCCCCAGCGCACCAACAGCGCGGGGCCCCGGCGGGGGAGGGGGGGGCGGGGGCCCGCAAGCGGGGAGAAGCAGGTGGAAAACCGGGTGGAATCAAACAGGAAGCCCAAGAGCGGGGCCAGGTCGGGTGGAGATGGGCTGCTTCCCAAATGGGGCCCTCACTTGATCATCTTGAACAAGTCCGGGTCGCTGATTTTGACCGTGCGAGCCACGTTCCAGGACACGTGAATCATGGGCACAATGGATTTGACGTTCTTCACCTCGTTCCACTCGTATCGTTCCAGGGCCAGCTGGTACTGATAGGCTGCGGGCCAGAGGAGGGCACTGAGGATGCCCGGCCATCCCGGACCACGGTGGCGGGGAGGGGGGGGGAGATGGGGGCTGGCCCGTCCCTCATAGCGGGCTGCGCTCCCGCCGGGCGCCCCCCTCCCCGCTGGGCTCACTCGCCGCGGGCCCCACCCTCTCACCGGTGAGGGGCCCCACGTTCCAGGCGATGTTGTTGCACCAGCCGGTGGCCTGCACCCAGTGCACGGTGCCCGCGTTAATCCACACGAGGTCTCCGGGACGCTGCACGAAGCGGTACACAGGGATATTGGAAGCATAGAGGTCGTCCAGGATTGGCCACCAGGAACCAGTCAGGTAGTCCACGCCGTGCCTGCGGGGTGGCCACAGGGTCAGAGGGAAGTCTGAGGACCCGGGGCCGGGCCGGGCCTGCGGGGGAGGGGCATGGGGGGGGCGCCAGGGCGGCGCGCACCGGTCGCAGAAGGCGCTGATGGTCTCCCAGTAGTGCTCGTGCACCGCGAACCACTCGCAGTCGCCAGGGCCAATGTTGATGTTGACGGAGCAGAAGTTGTTGTTCTCCTGATGGCCTGCAGGGGGAGACAGAGAACGGCGTGTCTGGCCGGAGCCGAGCCGCGCTCCGCGCCCGGCCCGCCCTCGCGCCTTCATTGGCTGGCGGAGGAGCGCCGGCGGCAGCCCCGCCCCCCCCGCCCGCGCGCGCCCCGTCCAGGAGCGCACCTGGCGTTCGGCTGCCGGGGACCTTCATGTACAGCTGCACCGTGTTCATGCCCAGGATGGTGTGGCCCACGTGGCTCAGCATGTTGCCCGTGGATGTGACCCGCATGAAGGCGGGCAGCTTCAGCAGCTCCTGCAGCTGGGGCTTCCACCTGCGGCGGCGAGGGTGCAACAGAAGTGAGAGGCTACCCACCCCCCAACTCTGCCCGCCCGGCGGCGCTCCGGCCCCGTCCCGCCGGTCCCGCTGACCTCTTGGCGTCAGACAGGTCGATGTTGGTGCCAAACTTGATGATGTGATGGTTCTTCGGGTCCGGCGCGCTGCTGCCGAGGCAAAGAGCGCGGGTTGGTGGAGAGGCACCAAGAAAGGAAGGAGTCAGGAAGGGGAGGGCCAAACAAGACGTACGTGGGAGGGGTTCCTGTGGTGCTGTCGGGCTCCTCGGACTCCTCGTCTTCGCTCTCCTTCTCCTCCTGCTTGGCCACAGCGGGGGGGGGGGGGGGGGGGCAAGCCTGGGTCAGCGCCCGCCGTGGAGCGCGCCTCTCCCCGCCCCCCGGACACACAGCGGATCCCGAGCCCCTGCGCCTGCCCAGGGGCGCGCCTCTCACCTGGAGGGACTCCTGGAAGGACGAAGCCTGGTACTGCGCATACTTGGCAATGGTGGTGTGGGAACGGGAGCTCTCGCAGGGCCAGATCTGCCGCGTGCCCGTCAGATCCCAGTTCTCGTCCGACGGCTGCTGCACCTGCGTGCGCACCTCCACCGCGTGCTCGCCGCTCGCCTCCACCAGCGTCTTGGTGGAGAAGAGGCCCAAGTCTGCAAGGGAGGACCGAGCAGGGCGTCGGGGCAGGGGCAGAGGGCAGGGAGTGAGGGCCTTGTGACTCCCTCATCCTCTGGCGCAGGGGCGGCGGGGGGGGGGGGGGGAGGTGACAAGCCCGGCCCCACCGGCAGCTGGCAAGGTCCCAGGGCCTGGCCGTCAAGCAGGGTCGCCCCCAACCCCGTCTCCCACTGCTGCTCTGAGCCGGGGCCCCTCCATCAACGTCCTCGCGTGCGCATGGGGCCACAGGTGCACAGCACGAATGGAAGTTTCCACAAGCGTTCATCGGATCCAAGGAGATTTAGTGATGTGAAAGCCTAGAATGTGCTTCAAAGAACTCAGTGGCGAGAAGGGAGGCTATGTGGGGACAGAGGATGCTTGGGTATAGAGGAAACATGGTTGAGTTTTATGTTTCTAAGTGGTTTCCCTTCCTACGTACGTCCCCTTGTCTGAAATTCTGCACGATAAAGAGCTGGAAAAGGGAAAACCCCAGACCATGGGCTGGCTGAGGCTGTGTGTAATCTGTACCCTCATCCTAATCAACCAAAAAAAGCCAAAGTGATTCTAACCAGGTCCTGAGATACTTCCCCTTTGCCCACTACCGGAGACACACAGATGGGAGAAAAGCCCGAGACCGGTGGACCCATCACTCAAGAGCCCTCCTCAGAGACGGCCCACATATGACTGAGGAGAGCTCGTGAGAGCCACTGCCCGGGGTCTCCAAGTACGCGGGCCCTCAGAGGCCTCCTCCCCACACGCCCCTGCTCTCCACACTCACTGAGTCGCAGGGAGCCCGCCAGGCCCCGGATCACGGTGATGGGATTTCGAGGGTCCGTACAGAACTGCAGCAGCACTGGCGAGAAGGCATCCCGTTTGCTCTCCAGCTGCGGGAGGAGCAGGAGAGAGGGGTGAAAGCCCCGTCGCGGGCTCAGAGCAACGCCGCCAGCCCTCAGGCGGGTCTGAGAAGCCGATGGTAGGGGTGGCACACATACATAGATGCTGGGGGTGGGCGGGTTGAGTTTTTCCCGGGGCAGCTTCTCCTCAGTGTTGATCTTCGGTTTCACAGACTGGGCTGGGGAAAGGTAGGACTCTCGAAACTTCCCTTTCACCTTGGCATTCCTGTGGGGAGGGCAGAGAGGCAAGGGCAGGAGTATCAGGGTGACAGGGCGGGGGGTTGGGAGGGGTGGGAAGGGTGGAGGCCTCCGGGGTGCCTGCCCCCGACTTACTTGCTGGCACGCACGACGTCAGCAGCGCAGTGGCTGATGGTGAGGTCTGCCATGCGCAGCCTCCGCTCTTCCACCTCAGAGGCAATAAAGGTCTCCTTGTCACCACTCTCTACCTTGATAAGACGGATCTTCAGCTCCTTGGGGGGCCCTTCACTAAGTGAGCGCAGCTTCAACATGTCAGCCCGGCTGACACCTGGCGGCCCTGGCGCTTCCTCCCGGACCTTCTTCCCAGGCCCGGTAGCTGAGGGGGGCGTGGGCTGGGCAGAGGGCGCAGGAGCTGGTGGGGGGGCCGGAGCGGTGGGTGGCTTGGCCTTGGAGGCCCCGCCAAGATCGGGCCGGGCCTTCTCGCGCCCCTGGATCTCCTCGCTCTGCAGGTCCAGGTTGCCCAGCACCCGGCGGCTCTTTTCTTTGGGGGCCTTGGCCTTGGTCTTTGCCCTGCCCTCTCGGGGCCGCCGACCCACGCTGTCCTTACAGGCTCGCCTGTGCCGCCGGTGCTCCTTCTGGTGCTCCTTCTGCCGCCGCTTGCCGCTGCCTGGTCCTGCTGCTGCCCCCACCCCGCCACTCTCCTCCCGGGCCTGGGCCGGAGGCAGCAGTCGCTCGGTCCCACTGTCCACCAGGCCTGCCGTGTCCGCCGGGCCTGCCGTGTCCACCGGGCCCGCCGGGTCTGTGGCGCTCCGGCCCACCCGCTCCACGAGGGTCTCACAAGCCCGACTGATCTCTTCTAGCACCTCAGACTCAGACCGAGCAGGGGGCAGAGGCAGGGGTGGGGGCGGCGGGGCGGGGGTCATGGGGCCCGGGGCTGGCTCTTCGCCCGCCCTGCGCTCCCGGGCCCAGGGCCCGCCTGAGGTAGAGAACTGAGATGACGAGGAAGCGGAGGGCTGCGGGGAGCCCTGGGCGCTGGGGGCCGCTGAGGGGGGCGGCGGGGCGGTAGCACCTGACGGGGGACCGGGGGAATACTGAGTGGCGGCCAAGGGCCCGGGCCGGGTGGCAACAGCCGCTCCAGTGCCCCGGTAACAGTACTTCTGTCCCTCCAGCACGGAGGCCAAGGATTTGAGCAGGCTGGCCGGACTGGCTGCTGGGGGGAGCGGCGGTGGGGGCGGCGGGGGCGGCGGCGGGAACTTTGCTAGAGGCGGCGGGGGCGGCAGGGCTGGTGGTGGCTTCTTCTCCTCTCCCTGGGCGGCGGTGGCAGCCGTGGCCGTGGCGGCGGCCGGGGCTGTGTCACTGGGGAACGGAGGCTGCAGAGATGGGAAGGGCTCCTTCAGGGGGGGCGGGGGGCCCACGCCTGCCCCCTGTTGTTGCTGCTCCTCCTCCTTGCGAATGGATTCGTCCAGCATCTTCATGATGTTGGCCAGCCCGTCAGGGAGGATCTTGAATTCAGCTGGCTCCTCAAACTGGTCCTCCAGCGGGGTAGGGGGAAAATCGAAGAGCCGCGGGCCTCGGGCAGGCAGCTCCCCAGCCCTGGGCGGCGCAGGCTGGGGGGCTTTATTCAGGGGGCCTGGGGTCGGCCCCGGCCCCACCTCGGGGGTCTTTGGGAAGGAGACCCTGGGCCGAGGGCTCTCCGGGCGCCTGAAGCTTCCTGAGGTATTTTGGTGGCAGGAGGAGGGAGGAGCTGGAGGCAGGGCAAGAGCCAAGGAGGCAAGAGGTGGGTCCTGGGGGCTCAGAGTGGGGCTGGGGGGCCGGGGAAGGGGGTCCAAACTTCTGGCCAGATAGGGAGGCGGGGGGAAGGACACAGGCCCCGTGGGGCTGCTGCTGTGGCTGCCATGGTTGCTGCTGCTGGTGGCTGGGGGGGCGGGAGGGGTGTGCGAATCCTGAGTGCCCACAGAAAAGCGGGGAGCCGGAGGCCCCAAGAAGCCCTCGCGGTGGGGGAGGGGTGGTGGGGGAGGGCGGGGGCGTCCCTCAGCCCCCAAGAAGAGCTCCTCTAAGATCTCCCCGTCCTCGCGGGCTGCCCGGCACGCCGGGCCCTTCAGCCAGGCAGGGGGCGGTGGGGGGCGCAGGAGGCGGGGACAGGGCGGTGGAGGAGGTGAGGGCGGGCCGGGCGGCAGGGACAGGTGAGGAGTGGCAGCGGGAGCCGCCAGGAACGGTTTCCGACTGCTGTGCGCCGAGGGCCCCAGGCGGCCTTGGTGAGAGGAGACGTCCAGCGCGGGAGTTTGGTAATGGTCAGCGCCGGGCTGCAGGCGGAGGATGGGGGGCGGGCCGGTGAGAGGACGGCTGCGCCCCCCCCTCCCCCGCCCAGCCCACCCCCCTCCGCCCACCACCGGCACGCACGATGCCTGGGCTCGGCTCTGCGCCCCGGAGACCGGTGTTGCTGCTGCTACTGCTGCTGGTGGTGGTGCCGGGGAGGCCGGGGGGCCGGGAAGGGGCGTAAGGCACGCAGGCGGTGGTTGCTGCTGGTGAAACGCTGGAGTCCATCCGCGACCTCTGAACTCTGCTCTCTCTAAGGTCACTTCCGGGGGGACGGGTGGCAGGCGGGCAGCCATGGCTCTCTGCTCCTGGAGGGCGGGGGCCGGGGCCTGGGGGTGCGGCCGGGACCAGCCGGTGGCCAGGGGGGTGCGCGGTGTAGGCCGGAGCTGGGTGCGGATACGGGTGGGGCAGCGGGTGCCGCTGCTCCTGTGCAGAGGAGGCCGCAAGTCAGGGACCTGAGAGGCCCGGGAGTCGGGGACACGGGAAGGCCACAGGGACATGGGAGGGCCACAAGTCGGGGACACAGGAGGGCCGCGAGTCGGGGACGCGGGAGGCCGCGGCCTCGCACCCAGACGGCAGGGGCAACGGACAGGAGCTCACCTGGCGCTCCGGGGGTGCCGAACCCTTGCGCTCGGGGCCCCAGACATCTCCATGCAGGGTACTCCACAGCCCTGGCTTGCTCAGCTGAAATGGAGGGCTGGTGGCTAGGCCGGGCAGGGGTGGGGGGGGCGGCGGGGGCGGCGGCGGGGGCGGCGGCGGCGGCAGTGGGGGTGGAGGCAGCGGCAGCCCTGGAGGAAGGCCGGTCTAGAAGGAAAGACAGTGTGAGACCCGACTCTGTGCCCCAGTCCTGCCCTCGGGCTGCGTGCCTGCCCACAAGCAACCATACCTGCTCAGAGCTGCACCCTCTCCTGCGCTTGCCTCCAGGGCTCATGCCCTCATCCCCCGAGGGGCCCGACAGCGCGGCCGGAGGCACAGGCTGGACCACTGGGGGTTCAGCAGCTCGCTTCACTGGGGGACCTCCCCGCTTGGCCCCGTAGTTCCGCTTGTGCTGAAGACAAAAAGGGGAGAGGGAATGACACAGCTGCGGAGCTGCCCTGGGCTAGCCTCCCCAGCCCAGCCGGCCCCGGTCTCCCCGGTCTCACCTCGAGGTGCAGCAAGTTCCACACTTGCTCCAGGGGGGGCAGGACCTTGGCTCGGTGCTGGCAGGAGCCGGCATGAAAGTTCCAGAACTGGGCCTGGGGGCAGAAGCAGACATTAAGATGAGAGTACTGAGCCAGGAGGCACAATCCTGGCCCCCAGGGCCTGGTTCATCCCACCTGCTGTAGTCGCCCGATGCGGGGTCCCAACTCAGCCAAGCTTCCTCCGTATCGAAGGGCGCTGTGGTAGCAGCGAATGGCCTCCTCACTGTCATGCTCCGACTCATACAGCTGCCCAAGCTGCTCCCACAGCCCTGGCTGGGCCGGCTCTCGGAGCAATGCCTGCACACAGCCATGCAGGGATTCCAGCTTCCCATGGAGGGGTCTCGGGGTGGGGGTCCTACAGAGCAGAAGGGGTTGCGGGGGTCGAGGGTCAGGCTTGGGGGAACTCTTCCCAGGCCCGCGACTTACCTCCCACCCTCAGCACCTTTGAATCCTTACTCACCCTGGAGCATAATACGGTTTGTTAGGGTGCCCAGAGCTACTGCCATGTGAAGGGGGCAGGGGAGCAGAGAGTGGGGGCTGCCCGATGCTGGCAGAGCACCTAGAGAGAGAAGAGGTCTGTTAACATAGAGCCATTTAAGCAGTCCTATCCCTACCTAGGAAGGAGGGGACTGAGAGGCTGAGAAAGAGCAGCCAAGGACTGCGCTGAGGTCCACAGAATGGCAGAAACCCCGAAAGTGACACAGAGATTGAGGAGTCGAAGGAATGGGAAGAGGGTTGCCTGGAGACAGAGAGAGAGGCCCCAAGTTCTCACCTGCCTCCAGGCAGCCATGCGCTACGAGGAGGGGGATGGGGCGGGCAGGAGCTCCAGGCCCCAGCACAGCTCAAGCCCCCAAGGGCAAAGGCTTCCCGTGCAGCGCGGGCCCCTGGAGGGTCCACTGCCCGATGCATCCAGCCTGAGCCAGGGAGAAGAGATTATGGTCTCAGTGGGGGCGCAGCCGGAGCCAGCAGTGTGCACACCGCCAACCCGGCCCCGGTCTTTCCCTTACCAGGTCAGCAGTGGCCCCAGGAGCCCTGGAGATCGGGCACGGCCCCCTGCCCCAGCTCTCTGGGGCGACGGTCCCGCTCCAGCCGCTCTGACAGGAGTGCCCACTGCCCCCAGATGGCCACCCAGGGCCCTTCACAGCCAACTCTACAGGCGGGAGGAGGAGGAGGAGTGAGGTGAGCTGGCCAGCACACAGCTGAGGCCCAGGGGCTGGGCCGGGCGGTCATCTGCACTGGGCGCCCAGCCCCGGCTTTCCCTGAGGGGAGGCCCAGGAGGGCGGCGAGGCGCCGGGACGCGCGGCAGGGAGCGGGCCGGCAGCTCGCGCTCGGGAGCCACTGGGGCGGACGCGCAGCGCGGCGGCGGCTTACCCGGCCTCCGTGGGAGCGTCCTCTCACTGCGTCGGCGAGCTCCTGAGATCTGGCCAATCACAGCACTTCCTCTCTCCCCAGAAAGCCAATCATCACCCGTGTCTCCGCCTCAGTAACAGCCTGGCCGGGACCAATGAGAGCGAGGTGAGCCCGGCCGGCAGCGGCCGGGGGAGGAGGGGCGGCGGAGCCGGTCAGACGGGCTCGGCCTGGGGTGACCCCGGTGTGACCCCGTGGCTCCCACCGAGGGTCTCCATCTCGGAGCCGGCGCTCGGGCCGGCGGCGCGGGCGGGGCCCGGGACCCTGGCGGGTGAAGGCGGCGAGTCGCACGCTCGGGCCGGCCTGGGGGATGGCGCTACCCTCAAGTCCCACGCACCCACAGAGCCACCGGTAGTCCCGGCAGGACCGCCCGAGGCGCCCCCCCGCCCCGCCGCCGTGAGACCGACTGACGGCAGCCGGACGCACCCCGCAGACAAAGGCGTCGCTCCCCTTCCTCACTTCACCTCCCACCCCGAGTGCCCCCTGGAACTGCTGGGGGCCGGCGGGTCACGGCGACTTCTCCGGTACCCAGACCCGCCCGCGCCGCCGGACCGCATCCCAAAGCACGGTCAAGCCCCCAGACTCATACCTAGTTCCTTGAGCTCCTCCACTTCCTCCGCCTCTCTCTAGATCTTCAATACCAACCGGCCCCCCAAACCAAAATCTCCCTTCAATCCCCCCAACTTCTGAGAAGTCGCGCACCGCAGTCCCGAGTGGCCCCTCTCGCGTGGCTCCCGTATCCTCTATGTCCTTCCCCGTCGGGGCCACGCGGTTCCCCACGGCCCACGTGGCCCCCGCCCCCCAAGGGAGGGGGGATTTCGGGGGTTGCCCGTGACGTGGCTACTTGCGCAGCGGAAGCGGCGTGTGTAAGTGTAAGGGGGGGGGGTCCTTCGGGAGGGAGGAGGGCGGGGCCCGACAGGCGGTGACATCACCCTTGTCCCACTCTCACCGCCCACTCCCTTAAAGAACCCAGAACCCGTTTCACTTCCTCCTTCAGCGCCCCCCCCCCCCCGCCCCTTCCCGTCTGTGCTGCCTCGACCCACGACGGGCGCCGCGCTCCCTTTCTGGGCACCTTCCCTTTGGGCCCAGTTCTTCCCCCTCGCCTCTCTGAGCCCAGGATCCCCGTCCCCGCGCCTCTTCCTCGCCTACCCCACGTCCCCGCAGGTAGGGAGCCGGCTCCGCTCCCGGGATCGGTCCATTGAGAGTCTAGAGTACAAAGAGCTGCGAGAGGCGAGCGTAGAGTACAAAGCGGCGGGGGCGGGGCCAGCGCTCCAGCTGGAGCAAGCGCCGGGCAGGAAGCCGGGGGAGAGCGCGCGACGAGGGGCTGGGGGCGGCTGGAAAGTTCGCCTTCGCCGAGAGAAGTCTGCGCTATGGGGAAATTTCCACCCAGCCCGCAAGGGCAGGCGGGTTTCTGGTGAAAACAGTCCTCCCTCCGCAGGGCAAGGTCGTCTGTTTACATGCACGCGCTTGGACCCTACAGGTCCCGGCGCGCCACTCCCCGCCGAGCGCGGCTCACGCCTGGGCTCTGCGGACCCTCTCCGCGGTTCCGGCGGAGTTTCTAACCCGAACTCTCTCTTCTCACTACACAGACTTTCTCTCAGTTCCCAAGCCCTGGCAAGAGTAGAGCGTTTAACGGCGGCCCGGTGTAGCCCCGGCCAGATTCCCCCCACCCAAGTCCCGGACCACGCATGGGAAGACGGGGGGAACCGGGGGTCCGGGCATCAGAGGAACAGATCCCCGCTTGCGAAGGGGTGCCCAGGGCGCCGCCAGTTACCAGGAAATGCAGCTTCCCCTAGTGCGATGATGACACTTCCCCTCCACCACTTCCCCTTTCCCACGGGGAACTGACTCAGCTTTCCCTGAAGCACTGAGCCCCGTCGCTCCAGCCCCTTTCCACCTCTGTCCACAAACCCCCACACCGGCACTCAGAATACAGCAGCCCTCATTGGAGAACAAAAACTTCCTGTGAACTAAACACACACTCACTCTCGCCAACCACCTCGGATCCCTGTCCCCACCCGGGACCCAGGCGCCTGACTCCCCCCTACACACCATCCGCCTCCCGTACAAAGCCCTCCCTCGGGGTCTGATTCAGGCTCCGGGTGTGTGTGGGGGGGGAGCGTGAGTCACCCAGAAAACCTTACCCTATTCCCACTGACTCAGTCCCCGCCTCCCTGAACACACACAGACACACAGAAGCAGACACAACTCAGCCCACACACCGCTCACCACCGGTCCCGCGGAATTTCCCCTCTCGTCTTCCCCCACGACGGCCCCTCCCCGCGCCCGCCAGCCTCGACGCCCCGCTCACACCTGTTCCCCAGGCGCCGGCAGGCGGCTCGCGGTCCACTCTCACCTCCACTCTCGCTTTGGGGCAGGAATAGCCCTCCCCGACTCCCGGTGTCCGCACTAACCGAGGGGAGAGGACAACCACGGGCCGGCACAATGACAGACACCCGCACACTCCTCGAAGGCAGATGAGAGGAAGACGCACGCGGCCAGAGCCAGGCTGGGAGGACAGTATACTTCTGGGGCAGATATTCCATCCCAGCCTCTCCCGCCCGCCCCACAGGCCTCTCCCGGGGGCCAGCCGCCCAGAAAGGGTTAATTCTCCTCCTGCCGAGGCCACGCCCCCTCCATCCGGGCACTCCCGGCTGAGCCCAGCTCCGCCCCTTCCATCCGGGCTCTGGACTCCGGGACTTTAACCGGACCCCCTCCCCCGGAGCCCCGAGAGAGACCCACTCCATCAATCACACCCACTTAACCCTCTCCCGGCTTGAGCCCGAGAAGCCTCTCCGCGCGCAGCGCTCGAGCCGCGCGGGACGCAGGGTAAGGGGCCAGCCGTGCGCACGCAGACTCACATGCCGGCCACAGACGAGACCCCGCAGATACGGTTTTTCCCAGCAGGCGGTCGGCAGACGCGCGCGACACGCGCGCCGAGGTGGGGCCGGTGCCGGAACCCCGCCGCATCCCGCCCCCCGCCAGGCCTCATTCTGCCCGCTGGAAGCGAGGGGTTACAGGCTCGCTTCTTACCTGGGGGAGGGGGGAGGCGGAGGGGAGGGCCGCCGGCTGGGGCGCCGCGGTGACTCAGCCACCCGGGCAGGCCGCCCGCTCGGGATTCCCTTCCCCAGCCTTCCCCCGCTGCTGGCCCCTCCCCGCCCCCCACCGAGGAGTGACAGTGCCGGCCCCGGCCCGCTATGTGTCACTGCGAGCCCTGTGTCTGCCTCGGACCGGACCGCTGTGTCCGCCAGTGTGTCTGACAAGGTCGGCTGTGTGTGGGTCCCGGTGTCTGTCTCTGTGTGCACCTGCATATCTGCTCATCTCGTCTCCTTCAGTGCCTGCGTCGGACGCGTTCCTGTCATTATGCCTGTCTACAGGACTCTGAGGGGCTGTCTCTGTCTGTGTGTCTGCCTGGCTCCTGTCTCGGTCTTTTGTCTGGGTCTGCCTCTGCATCACTTGCGTGATCACGTGTGTCTCTGCACATGCCCTTCTGTGTTTGCCTTCATGTTCCTGAACAGAGCCTGGGAAACACTGGAGCAGGCTGACCTGCTGACTCCTCGCCTCACTCCCCGGAATCCTGACGGCTTGCTGGATCAGTGATCCTTCTGTTTGAGTCAAATATTTGGGCGTCTGTCTGCCTTCAATCAAGTTCTGCCCAATTCCTCAAGGTCCTTGCTTATCCTCACAGCTCCCCGCGGCTCCCATTATGATGATAATTGCTAGCATTTAGTGAATACTTATTACATGCCTGGCACTGTGTTAAGCACTTCACATATATTTTTTTAAAACTCCCCCCACCACCACCACCCCAAACCTGAGGTAGGAGGTACTTTTTTTTTTTTTTTTACCCCATTTTACAGATGAGGGAATTGAGGCTCTGAGAGCTTAGGTAACTTGGTCAAGTCCACTCTGCAAGAGAGTGGAAGAGCTGGGCTTCTTCCCAGGGCCTCAATTATTTCCACTCTTCTAGAAGGCCTCTGTCCTATTCTCCCTCCCTTGGTTTTATCCTCACAGGCCATCTCCTGGGTCAGCCTGCCCCCAGGGTTGCACGCCAGGCATCTCTACCATCCCAAATGTCTCACGTCCTCTAGAGCAGGTGTGGGTAGGACACTGTGTAGCAGATCTCCAGAAGCCATTGCTTTCTTGGCAAGAAAGCTCATTCAGTTAACACATTCATTCAGCACAATTCCACTGAGGCACCCCAATGTGCAAACCATCTTGCCAAATAGAGACACAGAGACGAAAACAGTCCCACTCTAAAATTCAGTGAGTAGTGGAGAAGAGCGACACCCAGAGAACTCAAGGCCCTGGCTTAGGTAGCATCTTTTCTCCTAGAGAATGAGGGATGGAGGCTCTGTCCTACAGAGCATCAGGCAGAGAACTGGCAGAAAAAGAGAGGCAAGGAGGAGAGGAATAAGACTTAGGGTGTCGGGGGGGGCAGGCAAATGCTATATAGCGCAGTGGGAACAGAACGGAAAAGAAAGGGATCTGGAAGGGAAGGTGAGAAGCCACGGTTACCATGGCAACGGCAGGCCAGTTGTGGCACGGGCCTCCACTACCTCTCCGAATCAATTTCCAATCACCGTCCATAAACCAGACTGTTCAACAACTCTTCTAGGGCACCCCACCCCAAGAAAAATCCCTCCAGGGTAGCTCACCTCTACCTTGCAGCTTGCAAACTCTAGCTCAAGTCAATTCAATAAGCAACTGAGTTGTAGCACTGGGGGGTGGGGGGAGAAGATTTTTTTGGTGGTAGTGGAGAGGCTGCTGAAGTACAGGGCCGAACCATTCATAGGCAACAGAGGGGAGCTCCATAAACTAGGAAGGCTGAACCACTCAAGCACCACATGGTGGGGGTATGGATGCTCAGAGTTGGACTGGACCATTCTGAGGAGTGGGCATGATCCAGATCGTACCACTCTTCAAGCATGTGGTGCAGAGTTGGACTGTCGCAGGTGGGGGGAGGTGTTGCTCAGGGGGCAGGACTTACCAGATGGAATCTGATGTGCCCTGTCTCATTGGAACCAGTGCCCCAGCGGTGGGGTGCAGCAGACCACAGTGGGTGGGGTGGGTGGTACTACGGGGCTGGCATGGTGCCTGGGGGAACCTAAAAGGAAAAAAAAAAAAAAAACAGTTATGAGTGGGGTCTCCCAGGCTGAAGAAATTTTCCTGTGCTCCCTGTCTTCTTATTGAGGAGAAACCAGGCTCTGGTGGTCAGATGGGATGGGAGAACCTGTTTCCTTGGCAACCGGAAAAAGCCATCCCCAAAGTGGTCCTCCCGCCTTTCCCTTTAGGAAGCAGCCCGGCGCAGAGGGTCAAAGAGGTGCACGTGATGGCACCTGTGTAGGTCCATGGTGGACACCCAATCCACGATCCCTCTTCTGACTGAACCCTCCTCTTGAGAGTCCCTGGTCCCAGAGTAGCCCCTATTGCCCCTGACCTCTGCACCCAAGTCCGCCTCAATCCTGGCCCCAGGCCTGTAGATCCTCTGCCTTCAGCTCAGCCTCCTCCCTAACCTTATCAAGACACCAGGCAACCCCACCCTCTGGACTCTGCCCCCTCCCCTTCCCCCAGGCGGGCGCAGGCAGGTCTTGGCGAGCAGCGCAGGTGGCCAGACTAGATGAACGGGCCCAGCAGGGAGGAGCCTCCCTCCTGAACAAGGACTGACTCTGGGCCTGGGTCTGGAAGTGGCCTCTGCTGCGAGCCTCCCTTCCATCCCACCCCTCAAGGCCATATCCTGTTTCTCCATCACCTCCTTCCTCTCTGTGGCCCAAGAAGGTGACAGAGGCCCACTCCCTCCCTCCTGTCACAGACAAAAAGCTAGGTCTTTTAACGGAAGTCCAGGGTCAAGAATCAGGTGTCCATCTAGGGTCAGACCTAACTCTTGCCCCCTCCTCAGACTCACTCCTCAGGGACCTGTGGTTTCTCTTCCTTAGTGACACTAGTCGGCCCTTACGGTCCTAGACACTTGGGCTCCCAGGCTAGTCTCTCCGTTCCCTGGCCTTCCCGCCCACATCCTTCCCCCCTGCCCCAGAGACTCAGGCCTCCAGCCCCCAGCCTCCATGATGCAATGTGCTGCAAGCCGCCTGGGCCACTGACGACACGGCCCCAAGGGAGGCGCTACTCCTGACCCAGGCAGGGCCCCTTGGTGCTCCAGGTAGTGGCCAGCAGCAGGCTGGGGAGGCCAGGCAGGCAAAGTTCTGCTGCTGCAGAAGGAACCTTCCAGGACAGGGCTGCGGAGAATGTGGGACGAGTGAGTGTGAGAGGGGTGTGTGTGTGTGTTTCTGGTTGTGTTGTGGAAGGTCTAGCCTAGAGAGAGGGGAGTGGCAGGCCTCAGGACACACCAAAGAAGGAGTGAGGGGCAGCCAAGGGGGTCACAGGGGTGTGTATGGGGTGTCTGGACACCAGAGTGGGGGAGGGGCCAACAGCCATTTAAAGGGCCAGCCCCAGAGCTTTAATCCCTCACCAGCCCTGGCCCCAAGCCGGAGGCTGTAATTCATCTGTCCAACAGCTGGGGTGGGTGTGTGTGTGTTGGGGGGGGGGGGGGCATGTGGACGGGAAGGGGGAGCTGGGGGAGGGGCTGGGGCTTTCTTGTGCACAGAGCCAAACAACAAAAGGGGAAGCTGAAGGGCCAGCTCCAATGTGCCCAGGCCAGGCTGCTGACCTGCAGACCCACCGGCTGTCCCCACCTGATGGCCCACAGACTCCAGAGTTTGGACTCAAGGACTCTTGGCCAAGGAGACCAAGCACCCAAAGGTGGGGCCCAGGAGAAGGCCCAGGCTGAGTGCCTCCCTTCCCCCGCAAGCTGTCACCCCTCCTTGCAGGTCCCAGCCGCACCATCCTAGACCTGGCAGGCCTCAGACAGATGCAGCCTCAAATGCCCTGCTCACCAGCCAAGCCTCCCCAGACTCGGCCTGCCGGCTCCCCCTCCCGCCGGCCCGGGGTGGCAGCAGCAGCCACACCGAGGCTGTCCCTTTAAATCATTACCACCCCTGATTGTGTGGACAAACCAAGGGCCCTGCCCCCCAGGCAGGCGGCTTGCCACCTCCCCCCCAAGAGTCCCCAGAAATGTGAGGGCCATTTAAAGGGACAACAGAGAGGCAGCCGGGTCTCCAGCTGCCCCCACCCCCACCCCGCACA